TGTTTTAAAATTATAATTCATCATAAAAGCATGACTAGACCTATGACTTTAAAGTAGGCATAGGTGTTGCGTATTCATTGTATGAAGGCAGATTGCTTTTTAAAAAATAGAGTTATTGTTAGTGTAATTTCAAAGGTAGACGACTTCATGTTCGTTGAGCGAGAAAAAATGAAAACTAAAAGAAAAAAAAGATATTTCTTTTTTTTTTTTTAAATTTTTTTACAAAAGTTAAGAATTTAACGGGCGCTTGCCTATTGTGCACGTTTCATCGGTTATTATATCAAAAGCGTTTGTGTTTTCTATGTGCTACTTTGGAACAAAGTTTCCTGAATAACAGTTTAAAAAAAAAAAAAAAAACATACTTAGCCTATATTCATTAGATTCCAAATGATTTTCTCTTTTTAATATCACAAAATAAAAATCTGCCCCACCTATGTGCACACACTTTAAAATTTTATTTTTTTTAGATGAGAATCCAGTAAAAAGCTTTATAAAGCTATTCCATTTTGGTACTAGTTTTATAAATAATAATTCTTCACAAAATCGTCAATTTGAAAGTGAGTTAAATGATTATGTGGATTTGTTTTATAAAAATGTGTTAAAGTTTATCGAAGAGGCAATTTGTAATTTGTCTGCAGAAAGTTAGAGTTGTTTGAAATTCCAAATAATTATTACAATCAAATGAATTTTGAGAACTTTATTTTTATACAATTTCCTTCAGATAAAGCACACATTAATTTTTAAAAATAATATTATGTCATTTTAAACATGTTATGTCTTCTTAACATAACTATGCCGTTCATATACGATTTATAAAAATGACCACTTCTGAAAACCCATAAAAATGTATAGAGCTTTCTACAAAACAGTTTTTTTTTCTCTTTGACTCTGATAAAACTTGATATTAGAGAAGGTGCTTTTTGTGTGTTTTCGTTCATCGAGTAAAATGATGCTAACCATTTTTTTTTAAGGATTTTTTTTTAAATTCTTGCAAAGTCATTAGATCTAATTATTTAAGTAGTTTACCCTAAAAATAGGGTAAATAAAAATTAAAAGCCACATTACTGTTTATTAATATATATACATATATATAGCCTAATGTAGGCTTATGACAACAGCTGGTTTAGCAGAGCCGTCGCTTGACTTTTCGAGACCTTCTGTCACTTTTCGTCCTACCCCACTTTGCATTCAATTTAATTCAAAGTTGATAATTAAAAGAGCTCTGGAGTATCCGGGGGTCCCCTGCAGCCGTTGGGGTTGCGAGGCCAACACGATGGCTCTAGGGTTAAATGACACCTACATTTTAAACTAGCATCTCTTCCGTTGCTCTCTGATTAAGTAGTGCCTATAGAATGTTGCAAAATAAATTCGGGTATGTTCTAAAATGCAGTCTTGTATTTTAAATTAATCAAAAATTGTCTGGGTTCTATAAAGATTTAAGGCACGAGAATAACCTAGGGCAAAAAGCATACATTCAAGAATGCCACAACTGGAATGAATTTAGATCATGTTGGGCTGGGGCGGAATTAGAGATATTCTTGGTCATTATTAGGGTTAATTTTGGTGCCAGAGAACAATATTCATTTTTACGCAACCCC